AAAGTCTCAGGATTTGATTTTCAGTGGTACTGGGCTCCTATAGCTCTTCATTGTCTTCACTTGGAGCTGTGAGTGCTCAGTGCTTCCAAAAATAAAAACAACTAAACCAGGAATGCTCCATCTTTACACACATAAAAATATCCCATCACTATCACAATAATCCAATGGGACTATATGCTTGAATAAAATAAGCATTTGTCCTATAAATATCACCTGTAAGTAGAGAGAACAGTGGCCTGGAATGTCACAGTTGCCTGCTTCACAGTAAGCTAAGCAAATCCCTGCATTTATGAAAAGTCCTATGGGATTGATCTTTAATGCTTATACATGTCAAACAAGGCTTCTGTTTTCAATGCCTTGTATAATAAAAGTTCACTGCATAGAACTCAATGGGTTGGCTTCTGTCTTATCTATCCTAGTGTAAATTAGGAATAGCACCACTGACGTCAGTAGAATTCACACAAAACCAGCAGGAGAAAGAATCGGCTGGTTTTGTGTGAATGTATCTGCTTCTGAAACAAGGAGAATGGGATTCAATCCAATCGGATTACAAATGGTCGTGATGGGTTGTGTTGGGATTTCAAAAATGAAATAGTTTTAAATATTTTACCCAAGCAAAATCTGGTAGCAAAGGCAAAAGCTTAGTCTTGCCTAGATAAGGTTTATTGTGACAAATGAATAACAAGCAGCTCTCGTTCAACAGTGCCAGAATGCTGCTGAGTTTTTACCCATGTCTTGGTCAGATAACACGTTACAGTCCAGAAGATGGTACTTGGTTGGACGAAGGAGAAATGGTTCAAAGTGCAAATACTGGAAAATGTGCAAAGATGTTTGGCTGGCAGCCAGCTAATTAACCAAATAAAAATGTAGATATTTTGTTGTTCAATAACTTTAGTTAGTAATTTCACTGTCCACTGAGGCTGAATCACAACCCCCCATCTGGCACACCAGAAGTTATCCTCAGCTATTTGGCAGTCAGCATCCCATGTCCATACAATCGTGACAAACCACAGAATACCAACAATAAAACAAACACCTAAAACAGATTGATCTGGATTTTGCCTGCAGCAGTTAAAACACTGCTGAGCTGAGCACACAGAAGTCGCATAGTGAATTATAATGAAACTTTCCAGGACAGGACAGGGATGCCAAGAATATTTCTTTCCCTTTATATGTAGCCATTCTCTGTAAAACAACTTTGAGCAAGTTAGATAATTATATGGCAAGAACCAGACACAAACCAACAGGAGATGCAAGCAGCCGTACCTGCAGATGTGCAGGTAAATAAAGTGCCCGGCAGCCCACCAGGAGCTAACTCTGGTAAACTGTGTCTAAACTGTGGACCACTTATTGCACACTCCTGATTTAACTGATGGTGATTTTTAAAAAAAGAATAGACTCAATTAAAACAAATTGTTCTCCTCTCATCGTGTCCCCCTCCCCCATTTAGTGTACTCAATTGTGTGTGAAAAGCAGCTAACTAAACTTTAGCAATCTATGGGCTTTGCACTGAGCAGCTAAAATATTTGACAGAGGCTACATCTAGACTGCAGGCTTCTTTTGGAAGAAGTTTTTCCAGAAGAGATCTTCTGAAAAAACTTCTTCCGAAAGAGAGTGTCTACACTGCCAAAGCGCATCAAAAAAGCAATCTGCTTTTTCGAAAGATAGCATCCATTCAGTGTGGACACTATCTCGCATTCAAGCTGTGATTAGTATGTACGAAGTGACCACCAAAGCACCTGTGCTTTTTCCTCTTTCCTCTTCTTTCAAAAGAACTTCCTTTTCCTCATCCACACATGCCTTTTTCCGAAAGAGCCCTTTCAGAAAAAGTCTTCTTCCTCGTAGAAAGAGGTTTACCAATGTTGGAAAAACCGCTCTATTCTTTTTTTTTTTGAAAGATCACAATTGCAGTGTGGATGTAAGTGAAGTTTTTTCAGAAAAATGGCTGTTTTTCCAAAAAAACTCTGTAGTGTAGACATAACCTGAGTATGGTATCAAATCAGTGGCCAGCCAGGATACAGTTGCAACTATGCTGAAAATCATGGCCATTCAGAATGTCTTCTAGTACCACATCTTCAAGAGTATTTGCTGCCAGAGCAGAATTTGCAGTAGTGAAGGAGAGATGCCTCCCTGGGGAAAAATGGTACATTTGTTCCTCCAGTTCTGCTCTCGTCCCTCAGTCCTTCCACTTCTCCTACTGTGTTTTCACCAGGTTTCCTTTTCATTCAGCTTGACCCTCTCCACATCCTCCTTCAGAAGCTGTCTGCAGTGAGACACTACAGCTACCTGTGACAGCTGCCATATCATCCTCTTCCATCTCTGACTGAATTGCCTACTCTGCCAGTAGGGGACACAAGGAGCAGTGGAATCAGAGGAAGAGGGAGAGTCTGGCTGCTTTTGCCAAACCTCATAATGGCTAAAAGCACCTACTAGGCACCAAGTACCCACCCATTGGGGCCTTACCTCCGGGAAATGCCTGGTGATGGGACAGGGGAAAGCTAGTACAACTGGCTGGGGACTGGGCTCAGTCACCGTGTGCCCATGACA